GTTCAGTTCCTTGGGTGCAGAATAACTTTTATGTTGAAAAGTAAAACAAATAAAACCCAACCAGACACAAACTGGGGTATCGGTGGTTGCCTGGGAGGAACTTGCTCGGGAAACAGGATGTGGGGAGGGGGGCGTCCAATGAACTATAGCTTTTCTGTGTCATGTTGGGATTTAAAGAGAGACTGTATCTGTACGATCACTTATGTCCTTAAAAATTAAATTCCACAATGTGAATAACGAAGGAAAGACGTGGACAAGCAGATATGGCAGGACTCCTAGCTAGGACACTTACCTGGGGTGTTCCTTTGGGGCCCCAGCTTGTGGAGACGCTGACCTCTACGTGGAAGGGCTGGGCGTCAGGGGCACGGGCGTGGTGCCCGCAGGACCGACATGGTGTCTGGGTGCAGGGAGGGCTGGGCAGTGCCGGCTGGGAGTGGCGGGAAGTTTGTCCGGGAGCTGCACAGCCCAGGCTGCAGGTCCCTCTGGGGCCCTGTTTCCCTGGGAACCTGCCAGGCCCGCTGGGCACATGAGAGCTTGGCCAATGCCCCGGGGAATGGGGGCTGTGGTCCTGCCAGGCCAGGGCGCCAGCTCAGGCCGGGCCATCTCGGGGCGTGAGAAGCATGGAGCGGGCAGGGAGGTCCCAAACATGGTGCCAACTCCTGCAGTGACCTCCCAAATAATGAGTTACGAGCCCCTTGGGGGGCTGTGGATGGGGTGGAGGGTATCCCCTCCTGAGCCCCCTGCGGGCAGTTAGTGACCTTTGTGGGCTCCTGAGTCCTCCCCGGAATGCTTGGAATCCTGGCAGGTGTGCGTGTGTCCCTGGAGATCCTTTCCTGCCATGTGACAGGAGATAGACACCTGACCTCGGGGGCGGGAGAGGGGGAGCTCCCGTTCCCTCCTGTACGACAAGGATGGCAAACTCCCCTCGAGAGCCGGCCCGGGAGACCCCATGGCCGGGGCGCTGGGCGTGCAGGCACTGCGCAAGGCTCAATCATGCAAGCGAGCCTGGGTGCTCCTCCTGCCCGGCTCTTTGAGACGAGATGCTAAACGGCTCCCTCCCAGGCGCCCACCAAGCTTCTGAACTGGGTGTGAGCACAGCCTGGCCCTGTGTGCCCTGCAGAACGTCTCAGCTGCTGGGTCTGCTTCCTCCCACGCCCCACACACTGCACCTCCCTCCCCGGGAGACCTGCTGGGGGCCCTTTCCCTCCCCAATTCCTCCTAACGCTCAGGTAGCGGCCAGCTCTCGGGGGGGGGGGCACAGGTGCCCGCCTTTTGCATTCCCAGGTGTCCATAGGTCCTTGAGGTCTGCAGGTCCTTGAGCAGATGCTCCTGGAATGTGGCTGCCCCCGCCCCCCGCCCCCGTAGGTGCCCCCACCCAACTTCCTTTCTCAACTGGGGTCCGGATGCCCTTCGCACAACACAGAGCTCACCGTTTAAGGGTCCTCCACAGAAAGCCTTTCAAAGGCCTCCCGTGACTCGAGGGAGGAGACATCACGCCCCCAGGTGGCCCCGAGAGGGCCCTCTGGCCCCAGGCCCCCTCTGTCTGGGCAGCGACAGCGGCTTCTGCTCCCCTTCCAGATTCTGACTGGCAGAATCGGAAGCTGCCGGGACGGGGCTCGGACGTGGTGGTTCCCAGGCCCCTGCCCTGGCACGGTGCCCACCTCCTGCCCAGCATTCCTCACGGTGGTGGCTGTGGTTCGGGGCTTAGCAGCAGGTCAGGGACAGCTCACATCTTCTGCGGACCCAGCCCGCTCCCAGCACCGTTCTGAGTTTCCCTTCCCTGAAAGGTATCAGAGCTCGTTTTGAGCAGAGAGGTCCCTGCAAGCTTTGATTGACCGGTGTGATCTTCCCTCCGCTTGTGCAGATGCATCGAGGTGTGTCTTGTTAGCTTCTGGGGGGGGGTGTCCCAGGTTCAGACTTCCACACCCCCAGCCTTCCCCCCTCAGGCTGCGCCGCAGTTACCAGCGGAGCCCTCACGCTGGCCAGCCCTTCCTCCCTCTCTTAAAACCTGCTGCTGGCATCTTGGGGATTCACTCCTTGCACAAGATGCATGAATTTTCTCTTGACCTGCTTTCTTCTTTTTTTTTCTTTGCTGAATTTTTTTTTTGTTTCGGCATATTATGGGGGTACAGATTTTAAGGTTTCAAAAAAGGCCCTTTCCCCCCTCCCCCCACAAGTCTGAGTTTCCAGCATGACCATCCCCCAGATGGTGCACATCTCACTCATTATGTATGTATACACCCACCCACTTGCCCAATACCCTGTTACTGTAGTACCTATGTGTCCACTTAGGTGCTGCTCAGTTAACACCACTTTACTGGTGAGTATATGTGGTGCTTGTTTTTCCATTCTTGGGATACTTCACTTAGTAGTATAGGTTCCAGCTCTAACCAGGAAAACATAAGATGTGCTATATCACTGTTGTTTCTTAGAGCTGAATAGTACTCCATGGTATACATATACCACATTTTATTAATCCATTCTTGGATTGATGGGCACTTGGGCTGTTTCCACAGCCTTGCGACTATGAATTGTGCTGCTATAAACATTCGGGTGCGGGTTGACCTGCTTTCTTACTTGCGTCCACTCTCTGTTGTGGGCCTGCTTGATTGGCAAGGGTTCCATTTCAAAGATGTCTTTTTCTTCCATGTAACAAAGCGTCCCTGCCTCTGACAGCTTCCGAAATACTGCACTCTGTGAGCACCCAGTCCGCCCCCCACGTCCCTGGCCCACCAGACCCTCCGGATCGATCGGGCCTCCGGCGTTTCCGGCGTGACCTTCTGGCACGACACCTAGCTCCTGCAAAACTTCTAGACTGCCTTCTATTTAAGGAGATTTTCAATGTGGCCTTTAGGCCGGGATTTTATCATGACTCTTTTTTTCTAAATCAAGACGCCCCGTCTGATGAAGGTTTTGGGAAGGAAGCGTTTCTTCACCAGGAAGTTAAAAAATAAAACCGAGAGGCAGCATCTGTCTCGGCAGTTTTATTGGAACACGATGGCAGCACAAACACGGATCCGGGTCCCGCTGCAGATGTCCCTCCTCCGGCTCCGGGAAGCCTCCCGGGGCAGGGCAGCCCAGAGTCGGGCTGGTGGGAGTCTCTGCAGAGGGGCGCCCGGCACCTGCTCGCAGCCCTGACCGAGAGCCCACGAGGGCCAGACTGCTTGGCTTCCACTCCAGCTACGTGGCCATGACCAGGAGACCCCATGCCTCAGACTCCTGGGAAAGCCTCAGACTCCTGGGAAAGCCTCAGAGGACGGGGTTCTGGGGGTTCCAGAAGGGATTCAGGCAAGAGGCTCAGCAGGCATCTCTGGGAGTCACCAGGGCAAACCATGCCTCTGGGTCTATCAGCAGATACGCTGCTTAGAGTACCTGCTTGGTCCACTCCCTGCACTCTTTATTTCCTCTGCTCATTCGCCCAACATTTTCAAGCTTCTGCTTCTAGGGGCCAGACAACAGCCAACAGCCGGGCAGGACCCAGGGCCTCGTGCGTGGGAGAGACGGACACTGCTCGGGGAATCCCACCAGCAGCCGCGATCCGACAACTGCGCCCGTGCCTTCCAAGGGCAGTTCCGAGGGGGGTGGCGGGGTGGCAGACCCAGCATGGAGGGTCGAGGAAGGTGTCCGCAAGGAAGTGACATTTGAGGCGGGATCTCATGGGGTTAACTGGCTCAAAGGGACTGGGGTGCCGGCGGGTGTCAGTGCAGGAGGTGGGGGAGGGCACGCAGGGCTGGGTGGGGGTGGGCGAAGGGAGAGGCAGATGCCGGGAGGCAGGGGTGTCAGGAGCTGCTCCAGCCGTCCCAAGGGAGACCACAGCAGCCAGACCGAAGGACGCCAGGGCAGGCAGGGAGAAGCAAGTGGACGGCAGGCACGTGTGGGGCGGGACTGCAGAGTGCTGGCCACCAGGGCCAGGCGAAGGGAGGTGCCGAGGGGCGGCCATCTGAGAAGGGGAGCCCAGGGGGCACGGCAGGCTGGGAGGACGAACACGGGCTGGGAGCACCTTCCAGGTGGGCTGCCGCTGGGTAGGTGGCCGTGGGTCCCAGGCGGCTGTAAACCTGTGGGCAAACATCTCCTCTCGCCTGGCAACCGGGGCCATGGGATGCAGACACGGGAGCAAGAAGGGAAGACTCAGGACAGAGCCTCAGATGCCAGAAACCTGACAGCCAGGTGGAGGACCACGATTTGTAGAAGGGACAGAGAAGCTTGGGTGGACTGGGGGCGGAGGGGGAACCAGGAGGGCTCTTGGAGACCAGGGAGGGTGGCGGTCAGCCGGAGAGACGCGCTGAGGAGCCCTGGGGGCAGAAGCCCGGCCTGCACTCAGCTCTCAGGCCGCACTTTCCCTGGGTCTGCAGGCTGGGAGCAGGGCAGGCGAGTCGCGACTGTCTGTCTGTCTGTCTGTCTGTCTGTCTCTCTCTCTCTCTCTCTCTCTCGGGCGCAGTGTGCTGTAGTGTCGAGAGCAGGGGCGGGAGCCTGGCTTTTCACCTGCCCTCCCCCTCATTCATTCATTCATTCATTCATTCATTCATTCAGCAAGTGTTTTTTGGTGCCCCTATGCGCCAGGCACACTTGCTGGTGGAGTGGACTTGGCAGGTCCTGCACTTCTCTGAGCCTCAGTTTCCACCTCCATCAAGGTGGGTGGTGATCCTTACTATCAGCGCATGTGACAAGGATTCGGGGAGCTCATGCGGGGGATGTGCCTAGTGCCAACAGGTGCTTGGGAAAGGCTGGTTCTCTTCCCTTCCGTGTCCTTCGCTTCCCTTCTGTGTCCTTCCCTTCCCTGTCCTTCCTTTCCCTTCCCTTCCCTTCCCTTCCCTTCCCTTCCCTTCCCTTCCCTTCCCTTTCCTTTCCTTCCCTTCCCTGTCCTTCCCTTCCTTCCCTTGCTTCTTCCTTCCTTCCCTTCCTTCCTCCTGCAGAACCCATGAGGGAGAGAGACACCAGTGCTTCATAGCAATGCTCTTCGCCTTGCTCGGGGGACATGCATGTCCCCCCCACCACACACACACACACACACGTCCGTGCACACACATGTACAAATCCCCGTCCTTCCCGCCATCTCTGCTCACGGCTCCCCGGGCCAGCACCAGCGTGAGCTGTGAGCCCGCGGGACTCGGCCCACTGGGCCCAGAGGAGCCCCGAGCGGCTGCCTGGGAATGCCGGGCACAGGACAGGCTGTTCCACCCGAGGCCCGAGGGGCCCAGGGACTCTGGCGTCCGGCTCTGTTGCTCTGGGACCCGCAGACTCCGGCCGGGGTGCGTTCTCGGTGGCTTCGGGGGTTGGGTCCCTGGGGGCTCCAGGAGTCACATCTTAGGGACTGGGAGCAGCATCCTCAGTGTCCTGGGGCGGGGTGTGGACAGCCTTGGAGGGCAACGTCCTCCTGTCTTCCGGGAGTGGTGGGCTCGGTGGCTGCTCAGACGGCGGCCCCCCCGGTGGCTCCTCCACGGGGCCTCCCACGTGTCTCTGGAGGGCCCTGCTCCCCCACAGGCTCTTGCAGCAGCTCAGGAGGTTGCTGGCGCAGGCGGTGCAGGACAGCGCCGGCTTCCTGGGGAGACACAAGCACAGGCCGCGGCTGAGGGGGCCACAGGGCAAGGCCGGGGGGGGGGGGCCCGGGCTGGGCCTCTCGACTTTGCTTCTCCTAAGCCAAGCCTGGGGAAGGGTGGAGTGGGATGGGCCAGGGGACCCCCCTCTGCCGCCCAGAGCAGCTCAACCCACGAGGAGGAACCTTCCGGAGACTCACTTTCAAATCCAAACTCTGCTTCTCACATGCTGCGTGCCCCTGATCAAGTTAGTTGGCTTCTCTGAACCCCACGTGGAGGTAAAAACATCCTGCCTTTCCAACTCCTGGAAGAATTCTTGTCATAAAATATCTTACAGGCCAGGCGCAGTGGCTCACGCCTGTAATCCTAGCACTCTGGGAGGCCGAGGCGGGCGGATTGCTCGTGGTCGGGAGTTCGAAACCAGCCTGAGCGAGACCCCGTCTCTACCAAAAATAGAAATAAATTAATTGACCAAATAAAAATATATATACAAAAAATTAGCCGGGCATGGTGGCGCATGCCTGTAGTCCCAGCTACTCGGGCGGCTGAGGCAGGAGGATCGCTTGAGCCCAGGAGTTTGAGGTTGCTGTGAGCTAGGCTGATGCCACGGCACTCTAGCCCGGGCAACAGAGTAACAGACTCTGTCTCAAAAAAAAAAAAAAAAAAATCTTACGGATTGTGTCACACTCCTCATAGGAGGAGCCCAGTTGACATCGGCTGTTCCCAAATTTCACCGAGAGGACTGCTGAGCATCTGCAGCGTGCCTTCCATGAGTTGGGGGAGGGCTGGGGAGGTCTCGCGTTACTCTGCCGTGCGTTAGCACGCACCGGCTGCCCGGGGAGTCCGGCTCACTGCCCCCTCTGCCTTCCACGCAGAGACAGGGAAGAGTGTCCTGTTGCCTTCAGGGTGTGGACTTGGAGGCCTGACTTTGCAAGGTTTTGTGAGCACTTCCTTTGATGCACGGGCACGCTCCGTTCCGGCCAAGCCAGGGCTGGAGGCAGGCCGGTCAGCCCCTCCTCCCCAGCGCGCCCCACCCACACCTGGCCTTCAAGGTCATCCTCTGGCGGGCTGCGGGCGTCCCGTGCTGTGTTAGCAGTGTACATATTTGACCAAGTGGGCAGGCATTTGCCCTGGGATTAACATTCCAGACCCAGCCTCTGGCTCTGAGAAAGTGACTCTCACTAAAATCAGTGAAATGACAAAGCTAGCTCGAGCCTAGGGAATAACTGCCTCCTTCTTCTAAGGGGCTTAAAAATCACTTAAAATAATATTTTGGAAATATCACATGTTCATGCTAAAAAATTCAGAACATAAAGATTAACAAATAGAAGAAAATAAACATCTCAAGTAATTCCTCTGCTTGGGCATATCTTTGTTACCTGTCAATTTAGTCATTAAGTATTTTTACTTTTACTTTATTTTATTTTTTTGAGACAGAGTCTCTTACTCTGTTGCCCGGGCTAGAGTGCCGTGGCGTCAGCATAGCTCACAGCAACCTCAAACTCCTGGGCTCAAGAGATCCTCCTGCCTCAGCCTCCCGAGTAGCTGGGACTACAGGCATGTGCTACCATGCCCGGCTCATTTTTTGTATATATACTTTTAGTTGGTCAATTAATTTCTTTCTATTTTTAGTAGAGACGGGGTCTTGCTCAGGCTGGTTTCGAACTCCCGACCTTGAGCAATCCACCCGCCTCGGCCTCCCAGAGTGCTAGGATTACAGGCGTGAGCCACCGCGCCCGGCCTATATTTTCTTTTAAAAGTTAAATTTTTGCCTATTAACCTATCTGGAATTGATTACTCTGTATCATGTAAGATCCAATTTCATTTTATTTTTCCATCCCCCCCACACTCCTGAATTTCAGCACCCAAAGCCCAGGCATTGACTCTTCCCCACGGATCTACAACAGCAGGAGCTGAACTTTACTCTTTTCCAAGGCCTGTTTGCCTGTTCTTTCAGTGTTACCTTAAGGACTTCATTGCTATGTCTTATTTTTTCCCCTTTAGAAATATTTTGACTGTTCCTAAGTCTATTCTCGACCATATACATTTTAGAATCAATTTGTCAATTTCCATGGAAACACTGTTTGGATTTTAACGGGAATTGTTCTGAATGTACAGATTAATTTGGCAAGGACAAACATCTTTTTTTTTTAAATTTGTTTAAAAGTTTATTTCATTTTATTTATATTTTAATTTAATTTAACTTTTTTGGAGATAAGATCTTACTACAGCGCCCAGGCTGGTCTTGAACTCCTGGGCTCAAGAGATTCTCCCACCTCAGCCTCCCCAAAGTGCTGGGATTACAGGCATGAGCCACTGCACCTGGTCCAAACATCTTTATAATATTGAATCTTTGCATCCAGAGTCTTCAAGGCACTTGAATAAATATGAAGGCATTAACAAGGTAACTGAACATAAGACCAACATATGAAATTCATTTGCACAATTGGAGCTCAATTCTCTGTGCATCAGCAATAGATAGTAAGAAAATGACATCTACAAAAAGATACCACTTCCAAGAGAAAAATCACAAGGGGCCTAGTGCTCATCCATGACAATGATTTGTCTGCAGATGCTTTTTGGTGTCTACACAGACTACGGTTATCAACTGTGAATGATAATAGCTTTGTACTCCCATTTTAAAAAAAAAATTTTTTTCTTGTCTTACTGCATTGACTTCCAGGAAAATGTTGAATAGGAATGCAAAGGCTGGCCCTGGTCCCTATTTTAGAAATGTTTCATTAATATTTCCTATCTGTAGATGACATATTCTTACTATCTATTGCTGATGCACAGAGAATTGAACTCCAACTGTGCAAATAGTAAATACTCTTTGGTTAAGGAAGTTTCCTTCTACTCATAATGTCATGAGGGATTTTGTTTGTTTTGTGTTTTGAATTATGAATGGATGCCAAAACTTATTCAATGTTTTCTCTTCTTCTGCTGATATAGTAATAAGGTTCTTTTCTTCTTTAATCTGTTGATGAGCCGAATTGCATTAATAACATTCCTAATACTAAAGCTACCTTCTATTTCTGTATAAATCTAGCTTGGTCATGAGAGAGTATAGTTTTGTTTTAAAAATATTGCTGGATTGTATTTTCTAATACTTTGGAATTTTTGTAACTATGTTTATGTTTATGATTAGATTGTGATTTCCTTCTTCATGCTGATTTTTGAATCTATATTATACTGCCCTTATAAAATGAATAGAGGAGTTTCCCCTCTTTTTCTTATTTGTATAGGACTGCCATGATCTCTGTTCTGTTAGAACTCACTTGCAAAACCAGGTACTATTGGTGTTCTATTCATTTTATTTATTTTTAATGATTATAGGACCATTTAGGTTTCTATTTCTTCCCAAGTCAGTTTTAGCATGTTCTATTTTTCCTAGGACTTTGTTCACTTTACCTTAGCTCTCCCTTGTTTCAAATACAAAATTGATCATGATGTTCTGATCTTTCTTAATCTCTGCAACATCTATAAAAATATCTCCTGTTTCATTCTTCATATTCTTTACTTACGTTGTTTACTCTTTTATTTTAACAAATTTTGCCAGAACTTTTCAAAGAACTAACTTTTGGTTTTGTCACTCTTCTCCTTATTAAATCTTCACCTTCTGTTTCATTAATTATTTCTGCCTTTGTCTCTGCTGTTTACTTTATCTTTGAGGTAATTTAGTTCTTTTTAACTTCCTAAATTGGGTATTTAGATCATCAAATTTCAAATTTATTTTTTTTAAATATGAGCACTTAAAGCCATGCATTTCGTTTTGAACAGATTAGCGGCATCCTATAAGGTTTGATGTGAAGTACTGTATTCCCATTGTTGCTTTCTTTAAAATGTTTTTTAATGTCCATAATGATTTTTCTTCATTCCGTGACCTACTAAGAAATGTGTTTCCAGCTATGTAAGGGTTTTGTTGTTATTTAGTTATCTTGTAGTCAGAGAATTTTTCTGTGTGAATATAACTCTTTGAAATATGTAGATGCTTGATTCTTAGTCTAGTACATAGTCAAATGTTTCGCGTACTCTTGCAAGGAATATGCATTCCCTAGTTTTTGGAAGCAGGTTTTTTTGTTTGTTGTTGAGACAGAGTCTTGCTCTGTCGCCCTGGCTAGAATGCAGTGGTGTCATCATAGCTCACTGCAACCTCAAACTCTTGAGAGTAAACAATCCTCCCGCCTCGGCCTCCCAGAGTGCTAGGATTACAGGTGTGAGCCACCGCGCCTGGCCTGAGAGCAGTGTTTTGTTTGCTCATTAAAGTAAGCCTTTTATTTGCATTTTCCAAATATTTTATGTCCTTACTGATTTTTTATATGCTTGATCTTCAAATTTTGATAGAGGCATATCACACATTTTCTACTGTAATAATTTATTGATTTCTCTTTGTATTTCTGTCAACTTTACATATTTTTAAAGCTAGATTATTTGCCACATAGAAATTTAGAATTATTACTTTTCTGGTGAATTGAATCTTTTATCAAAATATGTTGACTATCTTTATCTTTACTATACTTTTTGCTTAATGTTCACTTGAGTATTAATATAGCCCCCTGGATGTCTTTTGGCAATCGTTTGCCTAGTACATCTTTTTTTCTTCCTTATACTTTCAACATTTTTGTTTCTTTATATTTTAAGTCTGTTCTCTTGCAAAAAAAAAAAAAAGAAAGAAACATTTGGATTTTAAAATTAAAATCTGACATTCTTCAAATTTTTTAATTGGCCAATTTATTTCATTTACATTCACTGTAATTACTGATTTATTTTCATTCATTTCTTCCATCTGTTTTTATGTTTTACATTTGTCCTCCCTCTTCTAAATTTCCCCCCTATCTTTTCTTGCTTTGTGTTAAATGGATTTTTTTTTCTCATTCTCTTTCCTCCATGCCATATGGAACCTCTACCGTCTAATTTTTTTTTAAAAAAGGACATTTTAACATGCATATTTAACTTTAAAAAGTCTAGTGGCAGGGGCCCTTCCCTCTCTTCCTTAGCTTGCTCT